ACATTTCTCACGAATTCATTCTCCAGTCTATTGCCAGCTTAGGGGTAGGGAAGAGGGTCTACGACTTCGTGAGATCCTTTCTTTGCCAGAGGACTACCAAGCTCAAGATCGAAAGGTACTTCTCACGAGAAATCAACCTCGGTTCACGCGGCATGCCTCAAGGCTCAGTCATTTCACCAACACTATTTGACATCGTGATGATCGGGCTCTCCAAGAACTCACGAAGGTTCAAGGATTCAATCATACCATATACGCAGATGATATAACCATCTGGTGCACCAACGGGAGCGATGGTCAAGTTGAGGAAGCCATGCAGCGCGCAATCGTTGTGACTTAACGTTTCCTCCGTCCCACTGGTCTGAGGTGCTCCCCATCGAAATCTGAACTTCTGCTCTACAAGAAAAGACCCCGAGGCGGCAGCCACCGTGACTGGAAACCTGCGTCTCAAAGTGAAATACGGCTTTTCACTGGTGACGAGACCCCAGTGAAATATGCACACTGCAATATGCACCCTGCGCACAACGTTGGTCGACGTAGGGCCAGGCGCAGAGCTCTGCTCGAGCGCGTTCGTAGCAACCCCACTGATGCAAGCTTTGTGGATGCTGTGCCATTGAACTACAAGAGGCATTCACTGTTTCCATCGTCGACTCAAATTCCAGGCTCACTTGGTCCGCCACAGTACGCACATCGAAGTCCGTGATAGCCGAACAGGTAGCGATCGCTGCTGGCTATGTTAGATAGTCGCAAAGAGTCAATATACAGCGACTCCAAGGCGGCTATCAAAGCCTACAAAACCGGGATGGTAGCCCCTCAAGCCCTCCGCATTCTCCAAAGCGTCAAGAGTATCACGCCCCATCCTCTCACTCGGTTTCCCGCTCACCTGGGGTCGATTGAGGGCTCTACCTCTAACCCTAACAAGGGAGCACACGAGGCCGCACGAGGACTCACTGACCGCACCGCCTCCAGAGTCCCACTGCCTCGCTGGGAACCCTTACTTACGTTCAATGAAATAACAAAGCACTTCTATTTGTCAAGAAGGGTATCCCCCTCCCACACCCTGCCTTGTGCAGGGCGCAGGCAGTTACCCTCAGACTATTGCAAGCCAATGCGTACCTGACCCTGCGGTTCTTCATGCCATGTACCCTAAACGGTATCCAAGTGCATATTGCCCAGCCTGTGGACTGTTAGCAACATTCAACCATGTGTTGTGGGAATGTGAAGCCATCGGCTCCGCTCTCAGTGAGGACAGGTGGGCTGCGCTCTTACGCAGCCCCGAACTTAACGATCAAGCCCTGGCCGTCCAGAGTGCCCATGAACGAGCCGCCAAGCTCGGCTTGACAGTCCCTACGTGAGATTAGCCGGGTGGCGCGGGGTCTCCCATGCGTCTTCTCAGGACCAAAATAAAGTTTTAATCAATCAATCAATCAATCTATAAGCCACTTAAGAAAACATAGTTAGCAGGGGTCTTATTTCAGCCGTAGGCTGCAATTTAGACTCCAGATGGGCCAGGACAGTAAAGAAGGTTACTGAGGAAAAAGGATGGGGTGTTTGAAATAAATATCAGCCTACATTGTTGTTTGAAAGAAAGCTTTTCTCATACTCATATATGGGTCACTACTGAAGGGGATTTGGAGTCAGGTTTCAAGAAGCATATTAACTCTTTCGTTACCATGGGAGAATGGTTGTTTTCTGTATGTCTCGGAAAGATCATTTTTGCAAGTTTGAGAAGTACTCCAGCACGCATCGCAGCATACCGATTTTTGCAAAATGAAATGCTTTTTCCAAAAAAATGTTGGTAGTAAAGCAACAAAAATATTTTAAAATGAATAAAATTGTGAAAAGTGTGAAATTTTTCGTGACCAGCTGGTAAACAGTGGAATAAAAAACACCATATATAAAAAATATTCAAAACAAAGAAAATTCAGAACAAACATTTTGTGATAAATGATCTAAGAACAGTATCAAAATAATTGTGTTCTACAAAATGTTTCTCTTCACATCGACAAAGAAAATCAGAACCGAGGTGCTGCTTCATTGCTCATGTCATGTGGTGAAGCAATGCATAGTTTTTTGAGAGATACTAGTGTACTCGTACACTCTTCTCAGTAAATTTTCGTTGCCTTACGATAAGAGTCTCTAGGTATTCCAATACAGATGGATACCCATGATGTGAATAATCTTTCTATAAATTAGATGTCCAATGAACTTCGCCATTACATCTAGCATAACCTTTTTCTATGAGCCATCTCACTCTGCATAGGTTGGCGTTCCAACATATGCATCGAAGCATATTCCTTTGCATTTTGGGCACATCAAAATAAAAAAAAAGGACAATATCACGCAGTTCTGAAATGTTTCGCCCTGCTCCGTAGTCAAGGCCAAGATGTGCTCCGGGGGCCTCCTTGCCATTAAAAGAAGCTCTGCAGCCAGCGCCACCACACCGCGCCCTAGCGAAGTGTGGACCACGCCAGTAACCTGAGTAACTATAAGATTATGCACAAACGTCAGAAGCTATATGCACTTGTGGCGGAGGAGATCACTTGAAGATGTAAACAAAACAAACCAGTGAAAGGCTACGGATGTCCCAGGCTGACGTAAAACATCGTCGCCATAAAACCTGAAGCTGAGGTGCTGTCATCCACGAAATCTCAGCTCGTTCTCACTGAATTCAGGTGGGCTCGCAAGACAGTTTCAAGCAGCGCATGTGTTTTGCAGCGCTGATGCGCAACCATGCGCGCGTGACGACCGCGTAATAAGGAGCGTCTAGTGACACTAGATGTGAGCCTGTGTCTGATATATCGATACAAGCAAAATCAAAGCAGCTGGAAACTGGCTGTGAGAGCCACCTGCACACTTTGTACATGTGGTGGACCTTGAAAAATATTTTTTTTGCAGAATTAATTTTCCCTGACTTCTAGCAACAGCTCTCTATTGATTATCTGGCATAAATTTTTGACAATTATTACAGCTCAACTCGGTCAAATCGCAAAGCTAAGAAACACATCCATTCGATATTTGGCTTGCAAAGCTTCTTTTCATTACAGAACTTTGATGTTACTGTAGTATAATCACGAGGGGCACATACTTTTGTGAAGTTCGCCAACCTAGTGCATTTTTCCAACTACACACGCACATTGGTTCGTGCAAAAGTCTGCGAAAAAATCACTATGTTGCCCAAGTTGGCAAATTCGAAAAAATTCTGAAAGTTGATTGGCTGAACTAACTACTAGAAAATTCTGGGTGCACGATAAAGAAGTTTAACATGCCAAAATTGGTGACCTAAAAGCGTCGATCACCGGCGATCGATTTGGATAGGCGTAGTAACGAAAAAGTGAATGCTGACCTGCAGAATGACTGAAATGATACAGACGATTCTGAAACAGTATTTTGTTCCACGGTTATGTTTTAACACACCACAAATATGGCAACCGGATAGGGTAACCAGGAAGAAAATTCTTAAGACAAGTCATGTCTGCATAGCTCATGGACTTATTAGGAAAATAAAAACAATATGTTACGAAGAAAGTCATGTGCAGGCCGTAAGCAAACGCCTGTGGGCCACGTGTTTGAGAACCCTGGCCTAGGGAGCCTAGAGAATTTTTGCTTCGTCACTCAAATTATCATACTCATGTGAAATGTAAACAGCATATGCCTCGCTAACTTCGAGCTGTCTGCAGACCACTTACAAATGAACCAACCAGAAGAAGATTGCTACCGAACTCTGCTCTCTGAGGCTGTGGAGCAGAAAATTCCTTCAACAAAGGTAGGGGTCCTAAGTGAAATTCATCCGCGTAACAATGTCACAAGATGCATAGTAGGTGCTGGGTGATTAAGCAGAACACCACTGGATGCCTGGACAGATGGTAATTGACCTAGAACCCACTCTTGATGATGACTGTGAACGAGATTTTCCCCATACCTGACGCACTGTTCAGCACAACATTCCACTGCCAACATTCCAATTAATTTATTGTGTGTGGTTTCATGTCCCAAAACCACAACATGGTTATGAGAGACGCCGTAGTGAAGGGCTGCGGGAACTTCGATCAGCTGGGATTCTTTAACGTGCACCCAAATCTGAGCACACGGGCCTACCCTGCCATCAGTGTGCTCGAGATCAGCACTACATGCAAACTCTAAAATTGCATCACGTGTGCTGAATTTAAGCGTTTCAAATGCAAAGAAAGAGGTGCAGCATTAATGCAAGCGCATTAAAAAGCTCACTTCACCGAAATTCTGGCATTGGCAACGATGGTTGCGAGCCAAAAATCTTTGAGTTAAAATCAAAAAGGATGCAAATAAAATAATAAAAAAATCTCGGTATGAGTGAAAATCAAACTCAGGCCTCAGCGTAACAAGCAGGTGTTTCACTTCAGAGCCACGCCATTGCTTGAAACTGCTTCAGAAAAACAAAATACTAGAAAAAACACTCTTCAGGAAAAAAAAAAGCTCAAACGTCCTCCCAAGTTTTTCAGCATTTAAAACGGGACAAGAGGCCTACATGACAGCTGAAACATTTTTGCACCGTAGGTGAGTGCTGGCTCATATCTAAAATACAATGAAATCGAGCATCTCACACAGATCCCACAGCACACACCAGTAGAAACAAAGTGTGCCAGACGCCCTCTGGGCCATTACATACGCTGTGCACCGTGCATTAGAACTTTTATGCAACAAACACAGATATGGCAACTATTCCACTCTAACAAAACGAATATCAAATCATTATTTCTGCACTGTAACTATTTACCAAGAACAGATGATTCAATAGAATACTGAATCCTAGATAAGAGAATAGTTCTTCGCTTGCTGGTGTACAGTATGTTCTGAGTACAGGTCAGCAGATAATTTAACCTACATTTTCCACGAGGCATTCCACTGCTTTAACTAGTACACAAAATGTCTCAGACATACTTATCCACAATAACCATTACAATATATACGACTTCAGCCTGCATGTCCAAATCTCCAGTTTCACAACAAAATAATATATAACATGGTGTGTGAGGATGGTCAATTTTATTGCCTGAAAAAGTCTATTAACATTATGCTTGACGAACACTTGCAAAACTACCGTGAGGACTTGCGCTTTTTGTTTTTCTTGATACCCTTGTGAGAAGCTAACTTTCGAGACTTGCCGCGTCCTTGCTTAGCTTTCCGCTTCCGGATGGCTCTCTGACTCATCCAGACAGGGTAGGTGCCATGCTCATCTCTCAGCGTCCTTGGGTTGTATTTCCTCACTGGCTTGTCCACATCCATCTCTGCTGTGGCTTGCCCATCAGCTGTGGCAGAAAGAATACAGATTAAGTAAGCAATGAAACACCTGCATAAGCACAAATAGACAAATATTTCTACAGTGCTCAAAGAATGAAATACAACCAAGAAACTTGATGTACAACAATTGATACGTGCAATCACTAAGCAGTACGATATCATACTGCTATGAATCTAGTCATAATAGAAATCCAAACTCTGATTTCACCACCAGCCTTTTAAACGGGAAAGAACGAACATCTCTTTTCTGGGCTGTTGCATGGGAGTACAAAGGCTGACGTCATTGCTTCGGCAGTGCATTTTTGAGGGGTCACTCAAATTTACAACAGCCCGGAGGAATCACCATGACCAGGAAAAATGAATCGAAAGCGTGAATACGAGCTAGTATTATAGCACCAATACAATGAACTGCAGACTGTGTACATAGAAGCAGTTATAGAACCACTGACCCTTCAAGTAGGAATACTTCAAATGAAAGTCATGTTTTAGGTGCATAGTAACAGAGGATCATGAAGAATAAATGTTTCTACTACTACAAAAGCTTGTCCAACTCATTTTACTGCAGCTGTGTGCATGCTGGACATCTTTCAGCACACAAACAATACCAGCCCAAAATATCCACAGGCACCTCATGTACTGTCTTGTATCACTTGTGATTGGAAATACGGCTAATGCACACAAGTGTCCACCTGGGAAGGCACTTAATTTAACAAGCTTATTTAACAGTTATTGCTTACTGCTAGTTTAATCTCACTGAAATTATGTAATATGACTGCACTTACTGGCCTATATGTTTTTTATAAAAGCATTCTTCTAGTTGTATAATATCTCACAGTAATATGGTGCACATAAAGAAGAAAATGAAGTGTTATGTATCAAGTTCAGTCAGAAAAACATTTGTGCTGTTTCCATTACACCACATTACACAAGACTGGCCCCCATGTCACTAATGTTGGTAGTGTTGTTAGCCAAACTACCCGAATTCAAAACCAACCCACTTCAGTGGCTCATTTCAACTATGATAAAATATCCTTACCATGTTCCTTCTCTTTAAACAGACAGAACAATCTCTGTATTGCAGTAATGTTGAGTAACATCAATGCGGTGAAAATCTCAGTGTTCTTTTAAAATTGCTTAAGTTAAAATGCAATTCACATCCCTATGAAATGAGACAAGCATCAGAAATACCAGCATAGGGTCTGAGCCTTACAACAGCCTGGACTTGACACAACTGTTCCTGTGAGAGAAATTTTGATGGCAAGGGTGTCACTGACGACAACAGGTATGTAGGGGGACAAGGGCTTTGATGTCGTAGTTCTCAATAGGTGGATGGCAAAATTGTAGCTCACGCAAAGGATAGTGGCCTACGGCGCTTGTATGCATCGACTTCTGGTTCGAGAAGCCGTGCTGCCGTACGGGCATTCTTGCCAGTGCAGTAACTTTCTGCATGTTCCATTCAGCACTCGCAGTGCCCTTCTTCTCACAAATTACAGCATAATACTTTGGAGAGCTTTGTGTTTAGTTTAATAACAAATGTAGTCACTACGAGATAAATATAATCGTGCGAGCGGTCATTTTTTTCATTCAAGTGGCATGCACCTCTAGACAGATGCTTGCTATTTCAGTGCAAAAGGTGTCATCCTGCCTCTTTTGTCACATACAATGATTTTATGGTCATCGTAGCGTCATGAAATATCCGTCCATTTGTTTTCATGCTGCTTACCCGAAAAATTATTTTCTTTTGTGTAACAAAGACACCATCCCGGGTTCAATATAGTGATTGGCAATAGTAAACTGTTTCTTACTCTGAAAATTAAGTGCACTCATAATTTTCTGGCTCTTTTACGCCTTTCCATCTCGTTCCCTCACGCACTCGAACATTGTGTTTCAACATATGCGAAATTCTCCGCACACAACATACATAACACAACCTATCGGCACTTTACGCTTGCAAGTCTGACACAATAAAAACGCCATACCATGCTACTCGTTGCTTCAAAAGCTGCTTCGATTGTCTTACATCCCACTGTACAAATATAAGAGCAGCCATTTTGTACCGTGGGCCTTTGACGCATTCAGCGGCTTTCATAAATTTCATGGAGTGTGCATACCTCTCGTTTCATAGAACGCATGTTGACATTTGGCAGCATGGGCCCATAATTGTGAGTGATTATTGAAGTGGTCACCATTTGTGCTCGAAAATGCTAAATCAAGGTCGTTCTGGAAAAGAATACTACCGCATGTTTCAAAGCATAATCGCATGCTTTGCGCTGCTGATTCCCCAATGACGAAGGAGATGATTACATTTTATCACTCATACGGTAGATTAGTTCACTAAATGAGTTTCATGTTTTCCCATCGATTGTGTTACGCCCTGTAATCGATCCACATACAAAGTACGTTAACTTTTCTTTGTCTCCTATCATATTAGTTTCCGAATGCGCGACCATGTTTAACTGCGGTCATTTTCAAGTCCTGAAAGAGGGATCTTCGGCAGACTCATGGCAAGGGAGTGTAGTTGGCGCAGGTGAAAACCTCTGCGCACATGCCGCAGGCACTGGCCAGCCTTATTACAGCCATACGCAGAACACTCAAACCAAAACAACAAACTACGGACAAACCTTCAGTGTCCAACGGCTCATTGGACTCGGCGGATTGGTCGGCGACTTGCTTGCCATCAACGACTGTGCACATTTCGGACATGTCAACGTCGCTTTTGGAAGTACTGGCAGCGGCGTCCAGCATCTCCTTCAACTTGGCAAGTTCTTTGACTGAGTACCGCTCCCGCTTCTTAGCACGCATTTTGCGTTTCCACTTGCTCCGCAGACTCTTAGCCATGATAATTTAATCAACTACAGCAATCAATAAGGGAGATGACACCAAGGAGCCTTGATCGCGCGCAGCACCTCGCCGAAATCGTCAACGTGCTCAGCCAGCTGGCTACTGCGGTACGGCTTCGGCTTGCTAAAAAATCAGTTTCGTTTTCTTTTTCTAAACAAAAATTGGTGTCATGTTTATTACACTAGAGATGCCGACCTGTGAACAATGCATATACTCTGATTCCGTGAATTTTTTATTTAAATGTTATGATCACTCGAAATTATTATGATGCGCAGCACCGTAGCTGGTGATACATGTCATCAAGCATAACCAACGCCTCCTCTAGAAGATGCCTGCCGCATTAGAAGAAAAACGGCGGCCACACCCTTTCTCTCCTTTATTTTAGAATGTTCTCGGTCGCTAGCGTCACCTGTGGCGGACGGTGCAACAACGCAACACTTTGCAAAGCCTCCGAAATAGCGGTGTACAGTTGCAGGTCTCTAACAACTCTCAACTGACGCGCCCCTATGGGCCGCAGATGAAAAACGCTTAGCTGGTAGACTGTGGTAGTCTGGTACCGCCCGGTGCCCGCTGCCGTGATAATGGATGGATGGATGGCCAAGGAGGTTATATTAAAACTTCTGGAGTGGCTGAGAGGCTCCGCAGCTGAAGCCAACACCGCCATATTGATCAGGGCAGAAAACGGATGGGCGCATTTTAGCGTGCGTGGCTTTCGTGTTGATTTAGTGCTAGTAATGTTGCGTATCATGCCTCTAATTGAACAAGACGCTTCTGAACACGTCTGTGATCACATTTTGAGACGACGATGTTGGGCTCTTGGGTAGTATTTGGCTGCACGAATCGTGTGAGGTGGACACTGGGCTCAGCTTTCGATGTTTAAGTAGGCATGCTTCGCTCATTCGCTTATTCTCCCATACTTTAGCGACTATGCGACTGCATTCATAAATTTTCTTTTGGCGTCCGGGGGCACAATGACACTAAGAATAATTTTTTGCAGGCTCTATGTTTTTGTAGTAATGTTTGTAGGCTATATATATATATATATATATATATATATATATAGTGGGAGTAATAACTCAATGGGCCAGTTAGTCTTCGTGAAGGTATGGGATATGGCACAACGGGAGCGTTGTCAACAAAGATAAATATATTTATTTCCCAACAGTTTCGGGAGGGGTCCTCCCTTCATCAGGAGATGAGTTATATATATATATATATATATATATATATATATATATATATATATATATATATATATATATGATTGAAGAGAAGGACGCACGTACGAAATGTGGATTTATTAACGTTTCGGCTGGTGGACCAGCCTTCGTCAGAATGATTGCAAATGTTACAGGCACTTAATATATAGGTAGGCGGATGTATACACAGGAACAGTGCACCACTGCCAGATGCTAAGCGCAATGAAAGCAAGGTACATGCGCATGGTGGACACAACACCGCACTGTGACTCACAATCACAAAAACAAAGATATCGCGTAAAAATAATAATAATCGCGTCACTGGCCAGTGAGATACCACGAGCACAGAACATATAAGAAATATAGGCAATGCGCCGAGCGTACATAGCACAAGATTGACTCTACAAAATAATAATAATAACGATACATAATGCACTTTTACGAAGGATTAAACATCCATTCACACACACACGAACGAGATAAGTTTGTCGCCGCATGAGGCCGAGCACGTACTGTATTCTACGCAATTATGCTAGCCAGTTTGCCCGCGTTTTCGTTTAAACCCCTAGAAGCCGTTCCGAACTTATGAATTAGAAATGATTCGCGTATCTCACGCTTATAATGCGACGTGAATCCCGCCTCCAATACAGTTGCCCTAAATGATTCAAAACTATGTCCGGTAGTGGCGACGTGCCTTGAAATCGGCAGATGAGGCATGGAGTGCACATGGGCCTTGTGATTGTTGAAACGGTAGCGAAATGAATTTTCAGTATGACCGATATACTGCAAGTGACAAAAGGAGCACTCAAGCAGGTAAACCGCATTATCTGTGTCACAGGTGAAATCGCCACGAATTTTTAAAGTGAAATTGTTTGCGGAGCTTTTAGCCACAGCGGTGGTTGTCATCTGTTTGCATAACTTGCATCGAGGTTTGCGGCATGGATGGCAACCAACGTGTGAAATGTAATTGTTAGTCCGTACTTTGGAGGACGTGAGGATGTCCTGCAAGTTCCTACAGCGACGAAACACGGCGCGGGGTGGCTCTGAAAAAACTTCTTTTAGGTGATCGCTTTGCGTCAATATGTTGTGATGTTTCCTAAGAATGGCTGCTACATTGGGTGCGGAAGCGCTATGCGTGAGTACTAGGTTAGCATTATTGAGGCTATGGGAATGTTTCTCTGCATTGATCAGTGTTTTTCGGTCAAGCATATCAGCACGTGCCACTGCGTCATCAATCATCGGTGCCGGGTATTTCTGCTTTAGAAGAGAAGCACGCAGTTTATCACAACTAGCGATGAAGTCTGCTTGCTCGGAGCAAAGGCGTTTAAAACGAACAGCTTGGCTATATGGTATGCTGGATTTACAATGTTTGGCGTGACTGCTGTTGAAATGTAGGTATTGTTGTCGGTCAGTAGGCTTTTGATAAAGCTTGGTGATTAGGTTGCCGTTTATTAGGCTAATAGATACGTCTAAGAAGTTTATGGTTTCAGTCGAGTAGACGTGCGTAAAAGAGATGGATGGGTGAACGTTATTGAAATCTGATATGAATGAGAGAAGGTGCGATTCACCATGAGGTCAAATAAAGAAAATATCGTCAATGAATCTTTTATAGCATAGCGGTTTTAATAGGCGACTGCGTAAAAACTCCTCTTCAAGCTTCCCCATAAAAATGTTGGCATAATTTGGCCCAATCTTAGTCCCCATCGAAGTGCCGCTGACCTGTACATAATGGACTTCATTGAATATAAAATTGTTCATGTGGAGAATCATTTCAAGTAGCACCGCAATGGTAGTGCTGTTTACTGGCTTATCATCGGAACATTTCTCATACGCTTCTACAACCGCGAAGATGCCATCCGAGTGAGGGATGTTTGTGTAGAGTGACGATACGTCCAGCGTTACCAGAAAGGAACCATTAGGCACGGTAATGTCGTTAACTACCGACAAAAAGTGGTTCGTGTCCCTCAAGAAAGACTGATACGTGGCGGGAAGGTGACGAATCAACGAGTCTACATAACAAGACAAGTCTTCTGTCACCGTTCCGTTTGCAGAGACTATGGGGCGGCCTGGGTTGTTCGGCTTATGAATTTTTGGCAGCATGTAAAATCGGCCAGCAGACGGACTTAGCGGGACTAGTGTTGTGGCTGCCTTATCACATATTTTTTTATCTCGCCAGAGTGCATATATCTTTTGTTTTAGAGTTTCTTTGAAGTCCATTGTGGGGTCCGCATCAAGTCGTTTGTAAAATGAAGTGTCATTGAGCTGCCGAAGAGCCTCCTTAATGTAGTCTGCTGTGTTCATAACCACGATGGCACCACCCTTGTCGGCTGGCTTAATAGTGATGTCGTTGCGCTTCCTTAATAATTCGATCGCTTTCAGTTCTCCGTCGCGCAGATTTCGACGGAACGAAGTTTTCTGCCTATATGCTTGAATTACATCGCGCTGAACAGCATCAATATATAGATCAAGGTATTTATCGCGTTGTAATGGTGGTGTCCAACGTTTAGCTGACGGCAGCACCCCGGAAGCATGGCTACTGTTATTTCTACCGTGAAAGAACTCCCTCAATCTCAGGTTGCGTGCGAAATTATCTAAGTCACTGAGTAGCTGGAATTCATCGCAATGACCCGTTGCGGGGCAAAACTTCAAACCACGCGATAATACAGACATTTCATCTTTGGACAGACTACAGTTCGATATGTTGACTACGTTTGAAACATCATCCGATGATGTTTTCGGATGATGTTTCAAACGTAGTCAACATATCGAACTGTAGTCTGTCCAAAGATGAAATGTCTGTATTATCGCGTGGTTTGAAGTTTTGCCCCGCAACGGGTCATTGCGATGAATTCCAGCTACTCAGTGACTTAGATAATTTCGCACGCAACCTGAGATTGAGGGAGTTCTTTCACGGTAGAAATAACAGTAGCCATGCTTCCGGGGTGCTGCCGTCAGCTAAACGTTGGACACCACCATTACAACGCGATAAATACCTTGATCTATATATTGATGCTGTTCAGCGCGATGTAATTCAAGCATATAGGCAGAAAACTTCGTTCCGTCGAAATCTGCGCGACGGAGAACTGAAAGCGATCGAATTATTAAGGAAGCGCAACGACATCACTATTAAGCCAGCCGACAAGGGTGGTGCCATCGTGGTTATGAACACAGCAGACTACATTAAGGAGGCTCTTCGGCAGCTCAATGACACTTCATTTTACAAACGACTTGATGCGGACCCCACAATGGACTTCAAAGAAACTCTAAAACAAAAGATATATGCACTCTGGCGAGATAAAAAAATATGTGATAAGGCAGCCACAACACTAGTCCCGCTAAGTCCGTCTGCTGGCCGATTTTACATGCTGCCAAAAATTCATAAGCCGAACAACCCAGGCCGCCCCATAGTCTCTGCAAACGGAACGGTGACAGAAGACTTGTCTTGTTATGTAGACTCGTTGATTCGTCACCTTCCCGCCACGTATCAGTCTTTCTTGAGGGACACGAACCACTTTTTGTCGGTAGTTAACGACATTACCGTGCCTAATGGTTCCTTTCTGGTAACGCTGGACGTATCGTCACTCTACACAAACATCCCTCACTCGGATGGCATCTTCGCGGTTGTAGAAGCGTATGAGAAATGTTCCGATGATAAGCCAGTAAACAGCACTACCATTGCGGTGCTACTTGAAATGATTCTCCACATGAACAATTTTATATTCAATGAAGTCCATTATGTACAGGTCAGCGGCACTTCGATGGGGACTAAGATTGGGCCAAATTATGCCAACATTTTTATGGGGAAGCTTGAAGAGGAGTTTTTACGCAGTCGCCTATTAAAACCGCTATGCTATAAAAGATTCATTGACGATATTTTCTTTATTTGGCCTCATGGTGAA